CACATGCATACGCAGAAGCGCACACACTTTACTGTGGAATTCTCCAGAGGAGGCTCCCACGCTCCCTGAAAGCTTGTTCTGAGTAGAGGAGTTAACAAGAGCAGTTAGCACCATGATAATGTTAGCAGCCAGACACACAGAGCGAGAGAGCCGGGCGTGTGTGTGTGTGTGTGTGTGCAAGTGTGTGTGTGATAGCCTGTGACATTTCTGCGATGGCTGCTTTGTCTTTCCCTCACTCTTCAGTGAAGCTGAAACAAATCTTTGCCCCCATTTTGCTTAATTCATTTAATTTATGTGTGTGTGTGTGTGTGGTTTTTGAAGGGTTTTGCATATGTGAGCAGCCTCGCTTGCGTGTTCATAAGCCTGCTGCCTGTATTTAAACATGCTTGTGTGTGCGTAAACTCGCCGCTGCTGACGTGCCAACATGAAATGGACGCGATGATCACAGTAAGCGAAGTCCAGGAGACTGTTAACCACCACTGATGGCGATTATTTGGCCCGTTAATGGACGTACATCGCTGTCTGATTAGTGACTTAGCAGCAGTGGACATATGTGATATGAGAGGGACTTAACTGAGGAGCCGCTAATCATCAAAAAGCCAAGGGGAAGTGGCGCTTTAATCTCAGCTTAGCGCTCTCACCGTGTGCACACTTGTGTGTATGTGCATGGTTCCAAAGGAAATGAGAGTCTAGGGGGTAGAAGGGACAAGCAGCAGATTGGAGTTTACTTATAAATTTGATTTGTAAATAAAAAAAACACATTGCAATATTGTTGCACTGGTGTTAGGCCATTTGAAATATCATTACTGTGCTGCTATGTGGAAAAACCAAGCAGCATGTGTGTATGTGTGTATTAAGTGTGTTAATGACTGTTTGGCGTGAGGTGTTCGATTTTTTGGTATTGTTGGACGGTGCAAAATTATGCTAATATTCTCTAATTACGACCTGTACGACGCTGCCAATTTGTCGACTGAATAAAACCTCATCTTTTTTAATCCTCTTCATCGCTCCGCGCTTTCAAGCGGCTTCCTCCAGGTCTCCTCCAGGTCTCCTCCAGGTCTCCGCCGACATGACAGCCCTGCCAAACTTTAAATGAAGTAGCCAGCGTAACCTGCACACCCGCCGTGCCCAATTGTATAGTAATTCGACTTCAAAGGCGGACGGGAGGGAGAGAGAGGGATTTTATAGCCGGAGAGGAGCTGTGAACGGCCTCCCCATTCATAGACACCCGCCTCTGAGGAAGTAGTAGCAGACTTTGGGAGGGGGTGGACGGGTGTGAAGAGGAGTGGAGGGAGGAGAAGAAGAAGAAGAAGAGGAGAAAAGGCATGATGGAATGAGTTGGTTATTCTTTCGAAGGGTGGAGTGTTCTCTTTGGCCCGCAGAGTTTTTGGATATCTCGTTTTCTGGGTTAATGTGTAACTGTCCACCTAGCTCTGCCAGTGTGGCTACTGTGGTTAAATTGTGGACGATAAAATTGTAAAAACAAAACTTAAACTCCTCGCATGCGAAGATGTTTCTGTGGCTAAAGCAAACATTAGCGAGGTGAGAGAGATTCAAAGCTGACCCCCGGGTCTGTGTAGAGGGTTATGGCTAGGCAGAGGTGTGCACAGAACACAAGGGGAGGTGTGTGTGTGTGTGTGTGTCTGAAACAAAAGGCCTCAGTGTGAGAGAGTGAAAGGAGGTAAAGTAAACAGGCAGTGATGAAGACAGACCTGCAGTGTTAGGGCCTCTGTTCTATGTATGCGCACATATGTGTGTCTGTGTGTGTGTGTGTGTGTGCGCCGCGTGGCTCAAAGCCCTGTAGTTTGTACAGCTGGGCCTGGCGCTCGCATTGGGTGGTGTGTGTGGAACAGCGCACACACACATACATCTTTCTTCTCAGTCATTCTAAGCATCATAAAACTTATCACAAGTCAATTTCAGTTTTGATATCAATTGGATTTAACGACAGCAGTGCACAGTTTTATCTCCTAAGTCTTTTGTCATTAAAACACATACAAAGTCTTTACTGATCGTTTATGGCCTCAGCTTTTGCTGAGCAAGCCCACGAAGATAGTGTCCAGGAGAAACAGATAAAGAAATCAGCTGCAGATACACATTCCTGTCTATGCATGTGTGTGTTTGTGCAGTTGTCTTCTGTACACGTTGTCCTACAGGAAAACTCTAACTTGTTCAGCATTATTGTAACAAAATGTGATTAAGTGAATCTAACCTTGACAACAGTGTACAAAAAAGTCATTAAAAATGGGAGACTGTAGTCTGGCACACCTTGATTTAACAGTCAACAGAATAAATTTCTATAGTGGTGATTTAGTAATTTTCTGATTTAACTTCCAATGAAGTATTACACGGTGAAATTGTGCAACGGTTAAAAGCCCTGCGGAGTCCATTGAAACTCAAAAATGCATGCAGAAGAAAAAGTTGCTTTTCTCTGTTCCTGAAAACTTGACATTTTGGAGATAAAAAGGTTCTCAGCAATATGCAAATGATAACACCAATTTGTAAATTGCTTTCAATTATTAGATTATCTGTGAGGTCTATGAATCTTGCAGGCAAAAATCTTCCAAAAACAATTAAAGGTAATTAAATTACATCACTAGGGTGGAGAGCAGGATTTTTTTATGGTATTACTTGAGTGGAGTTTATTTGATTTTGACCGTAACCTTCCTCGCGATGTGATAACACCACATGTTGTGTTTCTTAGCATGGCGCTTCCCTCATCCCTACCAGTGAGCAGCAGTCAATATTGTTTGCCTTTCCACTGTCATAAGGTAAATAAGCAATGAATTAGTGGCAGTGGCTGCTCCTAGGAACAATGCCAGATGTACAGTCCAGAGGAAATCCAATAGAGTCAAGAGTGTAATCAGTTTACCGGAGACAAGCAGCGAGAGAGGGGAAGAATTTAAGAGAGAAAGGCCGGAGAGGAAGACAGAGCAAATCAGAGACAGACTAGGTATGGACGGAGAATCAAGACTTGAGGATGTAGCTCTGTAAAAAGAGAGTGAATAGAAAGAAAAGCTTGTTGAGGAGAAAGGGAAAGAAAGAATCAGCAGGCTCTGAGAGTCAGACGCCTGTTGCTTATTTCTTGCTTCTCACCGCTTACCATCACACCCCCCCCCTCCCCTCAAGTTTTCACAGTCCCTCCATCCCTCCATCCACACCTCCATCCCTCCATCCCTGTCATGCGTTGCTTCTGTGCGACTGAGCGTTAGCAGCCTATTACCCGGGGTCATAGTCGCAGTGGCTTCAAGGCTGACAAGTGCATCTGAAAGCACTCAGGCGATGCTGAGAACCACATTAAATTCTATTATTGCCGCATAGTCACTGCATCCCTATTCAGCTGAAGTACATGGAGGCAAATTTACCTTGTGAGAGACAGAGTTCACCTAATAGATGTGGCTTTATATCCTTTCCTTCTTTTCAAGGGAACAAAGCCACAGTAACAAATGCAAACAGCGGGGCCCCCGTGTTGCTAGCTATTTTCCTCCAGTTCCTCTATTGTCCAAAGGTTTTCATAAACACATATTATTGCCACTGTGCATACTGCTCTCACTCTCTGTCTCCCTTTTTTTTTTTTCCTCTTTCCCACTCTGTGTCTCTCTCTGAAAGCCCATTGTCAAGACATGGTCATTTCCTCCACAATGCTAGTGCAAGCGGGCTCCATTTGCAGTAATGGCCCCGTCTTTTGGAAACGTGAACGTTGAATGGCCCCCATGGTAAACATACTGTAAGTCCTCAGAGTGTGTTTGAAGGTCTGCCAAGGAGCTGGGTGCTCACAAACCGACTGAAGGGATATTGTGTGGAGTTGCACTGCGAGAGCTCTGTCGACTGAATGTGCTGAAAGTGCAACAAAAAAAAAAAAACTAATCCAAAGCAAAGGGAAGAAAGAGAATTGATGCAGGTTGATAGGCTGAATATAGTGAATACCTGCTGAAAGGACTTAAAGATTACTTTGTGCAAGCTTTTTTTACTGTAAACACACAGCAAATTGGGTAAAGTAAGTAAGTTGGTCAAACTATCCAGGAGTTTCCAGGAACTAGTTGTATCCACAGGAACCTCCACACTCTCTGTTGCCACCATCATATAACTCCAGTCGTCAACCCATTATATCATCCTTTGAATATTGCTCACTCTTCCTCCCTTCTCTCTCTGTCTTTCTATCTCCCTTCTCCCTTCTTTTTCCAGGATGTCTTCCAAGCGACCAGCCTCTCCATATGGGGGGACAGATGGAGAGATAACCATGGCAACCAGCAGACAGCGAATGGAGGATGAGGATAGCGAGGGACTGGGCGGTGTCATCCACCTCCCCCTGGCCTCCTACTGCGGCAAGGTGTCCCCTCGCTCACCCCCCAACCGCAACTTGGACAGCCCCCCCAACATGGTAAGGCCGGCTACTGGTTTTTGCATCCAATGTCACTTTTCTGTTTCTCAGGGTGAAAGCACCCACCTATTGGTGACAGCGAACTTGAGCGCCGACTCAGGGTCACGCTGTTAAACAGGTGCAACATTCTGAAGATGTTTCCAACTGGTATGACCCACAGTGTGTGTAAGTGCTTCATGTTTTGCTTCTCAACCCACCAGAGTAGTCAAATTACTTTTGTGTCATTTGGAAAACGGTTGAAAACTTAAAAAAAAAAAAAGTTTCATTGTTTTTATGTATAAAAAAGGACATCAGTTAACAGTAGGTACAATCTCTAAGTAAATTTTTTTCCATTTCCATTAGTCTTTCTTAACCCAGATTGGCACAATTTGCATCAAAAATCTTTCTCTGAGTCATAGCTTTGTCACATCTGAACACACTATGATACACATATTTTTAGACTCAGTATGACTTATCATTATATAAGATATATCAGATGATATTATATATAAGATGATACAATTATCTCCAATGTTAATCAAGAATAAATGTCCATAAATGTGCTTAGAAATCATAGAAAAAAGACACTTCAGAACTAACTTGAGATTGATTCTGTTTTTAGGTTTTCTATGGTATCAAGTAATCCATTGGTAGTTGTCTGTACATCCATGGGTACACTGCAATCACAAGCTGCTAATACTCATTTCGGCATACTTTTAATTATGCCAAATGTAAACAAATACATCCCCCAAAGCATTATAGGAACTATAGTTTCAAAGCTTAGAGCATGATTATGCCCCAAATACAATAAATATGTTGTACCATCAGTATGTTTCTTTAACATTACTAAGGCTCAGAATCAACATGGTCCTTTATTACTGAAACAAAAACATTGTCTTCTATCCATTAATGTACAGACACTGATACCCCTCACCTAGAAACGTCCCCATAAACACTGTCCTAAAACATGTATTGTACAACTTACATCCAAACTGATGGCGGTTATTTAAGTTTCCCAACCTATATAACCTATATACCTAACCTATGTGACATGTGGTGACTGCTAAAAGCTAAATAAAGAGAGAAAACTGAGCAAAAAGGTCTAGAGTTTAAGTTACCTGTCTGCGTGTTTGGCTTTTTTTAGACTCTGCAGCCCATAAGGGGCGTATGACTGTGTGTGTTTTTCAAGGCTCAGGGTTGAAAGTGACCCCTAGGACACAGACCCCAGATCAGATTATGTTCACGATTATCCTGACCTCCAGCCTTACAGAGGAAGTGAGTGATCTTTAATACAAGCTCCCTAAATGAGTTGGAAAAGCAAGTAGCGCCTGTTTGGCAGTACATGACAACCTCTGCTAAAAATTGTTTTTATGTTTGTGGATGAATTCAGCTAGAAATTAACTTCATTGACCTTGTTTATTTATTATCTTCTGAAATGGGTATAGGCAACAAGGTAATTTCAGGAATGAAACATTGAAAATAATTACAATTGTGTTGCTTTTATGAAATTTCCAGTAATTTCTAGACAAGTAAACAGCTATGTTTTTTCATTTTGAAAACAAATGAATGTTACAGTCTGGACAATGACAAAACTAAATATATGGATATTTGTTTGGTGATTCGCAATAGAGATGAAAAGAGTGAGAAGAGGCAGAAATCGACTTTCTCTGCGAGTGAAAAACTGTTTGGTGCTGGAAGCTGAAGGTTTCGTTTTTTTCCCAAAATGGGAAAAAAATGAAGGTACAAGGCTACTGTTTGGTTGCACACGTGTTTTTGCTTTTATGTGCGCGCCACCAACCGTCGCCTTGAGCCCATTTGATGCACAGTTGCGTGACTGCAAAATGTGAGCCATTGCAGTGAGTCATTTTCTTCAGGATGAAGTGTGACATTGTGTGGTGGTGCTGTATGTATAGCTCTGTATGTCTAAGTGCATTTGTGTGTGTGTCTGTGTATTTGTACAGTTGAATTGCATCTCCTGTGTGATTCATGTTAAATATTAGTGTAGGCCTCGCGGAATACGGGCTTATTGTAAACTTCTGTTAGTTAATGTGCATGTGTGCGTTTTGAGTACACAGCTATGTGTGTGTTTTTAAGATGACTCTGTTTTCCTGCATGTGACTCATTCCACATTCTATACATGTGGTGTGATTTGCAATGCATTCTCAGTACATAAGTGTGATGATGTGACTGTATAAGGTATTATGTGTTGCTGGTATGCATTATTTAGTTTTTTTAAATCACGCTTGCCACATCAAAATGTTGATTCTCCACCATGAGGACCATATTATTAACATTTTAGAGACATTTTTGGTTAAAGGATTTTGTTTTCTGTAAAATGTAAATGACTCTGATGTGTTTGTTTGCGAATAGAGTGTGTATGCCAGGACAGAATGCACTGTCTTACCTTCTCCTGGGCCCTCACCTTGATACACACCTTGTCACAGTGGCGCTCTGATAACGATCGTCGACCTTTCCCCCATACTGACGATAAATGCTCTCAAGCTGTAAAACAATGAAACAGTGCTTAGGAGCTGTAATGGAAAGCTAATTCTGTAATTAGCTCGCTGATTAGCCTGCAGGCCCCTCCCGCCGTGGAGTCATGTGTGGCAGGTGCCGACCGTAAACCAAAGTCCTGGGACCACACAGGCGTGCAAACACTCACACACAGACACACTGTCTGGGTTATCTGTTGCTGTTGAGAACAGTGATTAGATTGTTTCTAGTTCATTTAGGTAGATCTATAGATTTTACACTACAAAAATTACAAGATCGGTCTCCAACGTTATAATATTAATAATATAATATTTTATCATTGTCCTTGGGTTATTATGATGGACCCCTAAAATTCTTAAATATCCTCAAAATGAAACACAGCACTGCTTTCTAGTCTACTGATTGACAGCAGAAGGGAGACAGTGTTAATATGTGTGTTTGTGTGTGTCGGGGGGTCTCATACACAGCACAATAGCTGATGTGGCTTATTAAGTGGCAAGCTTGGATGTGTATGTCTAGCGGGTGGGATGGGGGCTTATCCAGCTGCCTGCTTGGCATGTTGTAAGATGTGTGTTAAGTTTTTTTTTTTTCTTAAGGGGTGAAGGAGGGGGGTTACAGCGCCAATCCCTTTTGCCGCTGACTGTCAGTAAAGAGTGGATGGAGGGAGAAATGGAGAGGGAGAAGGAGATTTACAAGAAGGCGAGGGGGGTGCTGGTGGAACTTTGAGGGAGTCGGGTGGGGGTCTGCGTCTCTCAGGGCAATTGTCGTAAAGTGATAGGGGGAAGTAAATGGCTCATCGGCGACCGGTTGACTTGGAAGTGAGGCAGCAGGGGAGAGCGAGAGGAGAGGGGGGAGTTGAAGGGGGGGGTGAGATTACAGCTTTATCTTGTCATAGTAAATTAACACGGCGGCAGAGAAGCGCTCGGCTACACACTGACCTCTTCATCCCGCCTGCCTCGCCTGCCTGTTCGGCTTTGGCCCGGCCGCTTTACCTGACTGCTGCAGCTGCACAGCAACACACAGAGAAATAAAAACAGCACTCACACATGTTTTAAAAAGCTGAAAGGTGCCAGATTATTCACTTTTAAAAAAAATTGTTTTTGTACAAACCCTGGTTTTAGATACGAATAGCGCTGTTCATAATGGCTTGCAAATGAATGTAGTTTAGCTAAAAGGGTGTTTTATTGAATGTGAAGTTCTCACCGTGCTGGTGGACCCTGATTGGCTGAGTGCAGCTCAGTTCAAATGCCTGATGGGAAGGATTTTAGTGGTAGTTCAGTGAGGTCAGCCAATCAACACAGCATCTAGTCTCGATGCTCATGAAGTTATTAAAGGAAGGATTTTTAACATAATTCCTCAGTAAACAACCAAAATGATGAATTATCATAACAGGATACCTTTAAGTGCATAGTGAAAGTACAGATTTAATACCTTCCATTCTTGCTTGCTTTCTTGTAGGTCTTTTCATGTTTGTGTTTTGCAAATCCTTGCAGAAATGTTTTCACATCAGGCAGAGGCAAGCATCTTCTCTCATAAATGTGTTAATGGACAAACACTAATTATTTCATTAACAGGCGAGATGCATGCTAACACGATAGAAAAGTATAAAGATTTTTCATCAGGCATTATTTTTATTCATTTTCCTCCACAAGCCCTCTCTTTCCCTCTTTTTTGTGTAATTTGTATGTGTGATTGTGTGTGTGTGTGTGTGTGTGTGTGTGTGTGTGTTCATGTGAATTTGACAGATTTAACAGTCATTGAGCAGTCTTGAGACACAGTGGTCACACTTAATTTCTCATGCCAGTGATGCACTAATGAATCAACACACGCTTGCCTGTCAACAGCAAGGGGTCGTGGTAAAATATACTGGCGTACATTTTAGCCAAACTGCTATTTAAAATACAGAAAATACAGCTGCATGTTTTTACGTACGGAGAGGGCAAGTGTGTAATTCTTGGGAGAAAGAAGAACGACACATTTTACTTAACTACTTAAAAAGTCTTTTTAAGTAGTTAAGTAAAATTTGTCAAATAGTTTAATGGCAGATTCTTTATATTGTTTTTAATAACCACTGATATATACTAAAATAGTTGGGGGTTTGCATGGAAAAGCTCATCCATATTGTTGGAACAGGAGGATAAAAGTAATGTATGTGTTGGTGTGTGTGCTCCCTTGTCCCAGCCTGAGGGACCTCGAAGTCAAAACTGACAGTGTCTGTGTTTAGCCATGGCATGTAAAGGGATTTGCCGCATGTGTGTGTGCGTGTGTGTGTGTTTGGCAGTGTGTCGGAGGTGTGTTAAGTGTATGTCGCGCAGATTGGCAGCTCTGGCGTAGAGCTAAGTCTTACCCCCCTGCAGGAGTGATCAGTGACATTCTCATGGTGTGTATATGTGTGTATTTTAGTTGAGCAGCTGTTTCCAGTTCTTCCTACTGCCACATTGTCCATGCCTTGATCCACAGCGACGCGCCAAACATCCAATATTGTTTTTAACACAAACACCTTGCACAGCCCGAGACATGTCAGGCTACGGTAGAGGGAGGGAGAGAGGGAAAGAAAGAGAGAGAGGGTTGCTTCTGTCGGGCAACAGAGAAGGAGGAAGGGAAGAAGACGAAGAAGAAATCAAAAAAGAACATGAACAGCGGCATCTGTGCTGGCTGTAGGGAAAAAAAATAGCATTTGGATTTTTTTCCCTCTTTTTCTGGCAAGAGTTATGTGTTTTTAAACCAACCTCCCCTCACAGATGAGCTTAAGAAGACAAAAGTTGTTTAATTCGGTTCCATTGCAGAGGCAGTAAAAGGATAAAGAGAGTGAGGCGCAATTTTTACTTTGTTCCAGTCATTTTGGAAGAGAATTGACATCTGCAAACTAAAGGCAGAACCGCCCACACTGCCAGCCTGCCACATCCAGTGCATATAAATACATATATGCAGGCACTCACACATTAACACACACACACACACCTACAGGCTATGTGCACTCACAGTGTCACACATATATGCACAGAAATGGCAAAAAACCTGCTCACACACATGCACCGAGAGGAGGGCATGAACGTTTACAGTATCCAGAATTTCTGTTTGTACTCATGAATAAATGCATGTTGATGAGAAAAGTTTTGCAACCCGCGCTCTTGCAGGAACATGTCGCCACACACGCGCGCGCCGAGCTGAGTGGCACTCGTTCACAATAGAGAATCTGTCTTGTGTCTTGTCTTTTTGATCCCTCTGTCTTGGACTTGTAAATCGCCAGGGTAAAAAATGTCAGCAGGGCACATGGATTATATTCTGGGTGAAAAAATCCTAAACCATTTAAGTTGCCTTCAGGATAAGGCTGTCTGTCTGACATAAATAATGTCATGGGCCCTAATTTACGAGGTCTTTGAAGAAGCCACGGCTCCCTGCTAATTCCCTTTGATTGGGAAATGACCTTCATTGTTGGACGCAGTGAGATGACATCTCCCTGGCAGATTTTTCGACAGGGCGAAGAGATCCGACAACCCCCACCGACTCCACCCCCCACTCTCTCCCTCCATCTACCTCCCCGTATTCTTGTTCTATTTGTTTTGTTTGTGCCACATCTTTCTCGAAAGAAAGAGTGTGGCTGTTTTAAGTAGGCGCTGGATTAGATAAATGGGATGTGACAGGTGTGACCGCTGCCTTCAAGATGCCTGCCTTCCTCGCTCTCTCTCTCTCTTTCTCCACGTATCTCTCTGTCAACCCTCTCTCTCTGATTTCTTCTAATAACATCGCCTCTCTCTCCTTCGCTCATTTGCCTTTCGCTCTTTCTGTGTTTCTTTGACTTCTACCCACTTGCACTCCTCTCTCTCCCTCTGTCTCGTTACATTTGCATGCCGTGCCGGTGCTGATGCAACTCGTAATCACAAAGCCGCTCATTTGAAGTCTGAATTTCCCTAATCTGAAGAACAGGAGAGGGTGAGGGAAGAAATTAAGCAACAAAGAAAGACAGGAGCGGGTCGAGCCATCACTTGGTCAGGTGGTAAGAGGAGAAGAGTAAAGTCTTTCAGCGCTTTAAGATCACAAGACACTTTCCCCAGCGCAGCACAGCCCTGAGCCAGTGTGTTACAAACCCCAGCAGCGACTGATTGAAGCCTCCTAACCTCATCATATATATACGGCTGTTACAGCCATATCATCGCTGTCACACTCTGTCCCTCCATTACAATGCACGTGCAGGAACACCCAAGAGAAAATTAGTGAATTATTGAGCGTGCTGACTTATTCAAAATGTGGAAACACACAGAGCCAAAGAGAGAGAGAGTCAGTGAAGTGTAGAAAACAGAAAGTGATAATGGTCTGCTGTACCTCTCATACAGTGTTTGGCCACTGACAATGAAAGCATCGTCAATATTGAAAACCTCTGCCTGGATTTGTTCTCTCAGAGGAACATAGAGAAATGATTTCAGACCTTGTCTTGAGTTTTTTCTCTTCTGCTCAAATGGATGCTTACATTAAAATGCCTATAGGATAGAAAAGAACAGAATCTGGGGTCATCTGGGGTCTGGATGACTTCATCATGGACTGTGATCTCAGTATTAAGTTCCACTTCCACCAGCAGCCTGCGAGTTAATAATTAGAAAACTATCTCCGCCTTAATACACCATAATGTCATTAATGCAGCTGGAATGTCTCTCTGTTTCTTTCTCTGTCACATGCACACCCACACACAGACAAACAGAGGTACTGTATGTGTGTCACTGTCCCAGGTGGCGTGCTCCATATTGTAGTGAGATTAGCCAAAGATTAACCCTGTGGACCATTGACCCTCCTGTCGACAAAGAGCTGAGCTGACAGACTGACTGACTCACTTGTTTCTGTAATTAAAGAGCATAACACACACCTCAAGACACCTGTGCGCGTATGTCGGAGGATACTGTATGTGCCATGCGTATCTGTCGTTTCAGATGATGCATGTACACTGTATGTGCGTTCATCTGTACATGTATGTGTGATAAAGAGATGCGTGTTCTCTCTTGAAGCTGACTGCGTCCTCCCTCTCAGTGTCACTGTTAATTGGGCTTAGGCGGCATTAAGTCTATCATGCGGAGTAGCCAAACAAACACAGGTTTTATTGGGTCAAAGATTAAGACGCTACAAGTTACTTACCGTTCAGCTGCTGTCATCAGGTTTTTTCCTTCTTGTTTATTCACCTGACTTTATCAAACTTATCAATTCAAATACAATAATAACTTAAAGGACCCTACCAAATAAAACCTACAGCACGGCAAAGAGAAATTCAGTTGAATGTGTATGAATGTGTAAATAGCCGTCTGCTGCATACATACTCTCTGAATATACGTCATTCTGAAGAGTGAAGTTCAACCAAATGTAGGGGGTGGGGCCTTTAATGGACCAAAAACACCAAAGAAATCTTATTTGTGTTCAAAAAGTACAGTTTTCACAATAAGAAATTTACATTTTGTGTACTTACAAGAGGATTATGATTTACTGAGGTCCAAAACTTGTTAAAGACTGTGTAAACTCTAGACTCAAGACAGTAGGATAATTATTCATCATGACAGCTTGGCAAAAGGCACAGAGCCTTACTGTGAGCTGTATATATTATATTTTGTAGCTGTCGTGTTGATTGTTGTTTTGTCAGTCCTTTCATGAATTTATGGAAATGATTTGACAACGCTCCAAAGCTTTGTTTTTTGAAAAGGGATCTATTTTTTTGTGATTTGATGGAGTTGCATCCTCAGCATTAATTGTCACGAATCCTTGGACAAAAGTAGTGCAGCGCCGAAACTTGGGCTTGGGATTTGGTACAGTAACGCTGGACGTCCCTCAAAGCCGAGCTGTTGAAGGCTTTGTAATGAAGAGTTAGTGTGACTCTAAGAGTGTGCGGAGGCTTTTGCGGTTGTTTCATGTGCTCGTTCTGTCAAGTACCTCCAAGTCAGTCAAATGTAGATTCCAGAGGATGTGGGAGAGAAGAAGAAGAAGTATGCCCTAACTTGAGATAACTGGCCAGGGATGACAGTTGGTCACATTGAGCTATGAGAAAGGGAGATGGAGAGAATAAAGGGAGCAAGAGAAGGAGAGAAGGATGGAGATAATGAGTGGGTCTATGCCAGCTCCTCCCCCACCTCCTCCTCCTCCCTTTTTTCTTCCATAGTTTGTTCATTTTTTTTATCTAATAATCTCTTCCTTTTCCTCTCCTCCTTTCCTCCAGGAGCAAGACATCACTAAGGGGAGCTCTCTGAGCCCTTACCCCCAGCACAATGCTACCTCACCGGGCAAAGAGGAAGGCGGAGGCGGGGGGCGGCCCTGCAGTGATGGGGGCTTGGCCACGGGTACCCTGGGGACCCCTGAGAGACGCAAGGGCAGCCTGGCGGACGTGGTGGACACACTGAAACAACGCAAGATGGAGGAGCTGATCAAGAACGAGCCAGAAGGTCAGTGATGAAAGGGGACGCTTGTGCAGCCAGATGTGTGATCTGCAACTCCTCGCCATCTCTCTGGCTCTGTGCCGCTCTTTTATCACACTCTGTTGTCCTTTCTCTCTTCTACTTCTTTCTTTCTGTCTTGTTTTCTCTAAGGCTCTATCAGTCTCTCTCTCTCTCTCTCTCTCTCTGTTATGAACCCATACACATTCAGATGAGAGGCAAGCCTTTGTTTTTCCAGCTCGCAGACAGACAGCATCAGCTGTTTGGGCCTATTGTCCACCATGCTTTGCATATTTATCACAACCTGACAAATAAGAAGTGTGTGTGTGTGTGTGTGCGTGCGTTCATGTATGTGTAGTGTTAGTTTGAGTGTGTGACAAGCCTGCAAACACTCTTGTATATCTTAACAGCTTTCGACAAATGTGTCCCAGCTTTTATTTCAAGGGAGGGACACTCACATTTAGATTTGTTACTGCTTAATAAGGTTTAAATACATCTTATCGCCTTCCCTACTAACTTTGTAACCTTTGGGATAATGATCTCTGAAAGATTTCTCACACTGTTGAAAAGACTAAACCAGATTTTTGCCAAAGGCTACATAGCTTAGCTCGATTAGCCCCGCATTTCTTTCACAAGTTTAGCCTTGGGCTAACAGTTGGAGTCAAGGGATAAAATTAGCCCATGGCCAAGTCTAATTTCTATTGGACAGATATATTGGGCAGATAAATGGGAGCTTAAGTCACTATGAAATGCATGTGATAGTGATAATGTGTTAAAGAGATTACCAACAGGTGTCACTCTGATGGGATAATATAAATAACTTTGTGCTTTATTGGTGGAGATATATGTTGTATGCTACACAGAGACGTCAGTGTCAAAACATTTAACAGGTACCTGAAGCTAGCAGGGATTCACTGCCTTGCTCAAGGGTAGTTCAGCAAAGCAGTCAAAAACGGACCTGTGGTAAATCGACACAAACCCAATTTCCATAAAAACATTTTTGCGTAGATACCCAATTTGAAGGCTACCTGAGCACAGCCGAACAGACCATAATAGAGAGATCAACAACACCAACACCAACAACCGAATCAGCCATCAACTAACAAGCAGCCACGGTCCAAAACATCAACAATATAATAATAATAATTATAATAATAATAATGTCTAAACAAATAAAGTAATTAACATTAATTCGAACAATAATCTGTTGCTAGGCTTTAAAGACTAATTTGTAGAAATAATTGAAAGGCCTGTTTTCACCTCCTGCACCAACAATAAAACTTTCTGTAGTCAGGTGGACTGTAGATCATAACTGTCCAACCATTTTACTATTTGTGATTCAAATTCCATTTGTCATGTACAGTAATTGCACACCTTCCTCCACAATTTCCTAGATTTTTTTCTCCTGCAGTGTTTATGACATAACATGGTTCCTGCTTCAGCTTCCAGACCGTGGTAGTGGAGCACGGGGGACATTTTGTTTTCCACTCCAGGGTCGAAGTTGATCGAACTCCGAGTTAACCCCCTTCACCTTACTCAGCAGGTGTCAGGCAGAACGGGGATTTGGCTTGGGTCTTGAGGAGCATTTATTTCCTAACAAACTGTAACAAACTTTACTACCAACTTTACTCTGTTATACTAATAAGCTCAAATCCATTTGGATCCCCTTGGGTATAAGACATATTAACACACAGACCAGAGACCCTACCTGACCTTATTAGACTTAATTGCAACCAGATCCAACAATTGGTTCTTGGTTCCTCACAGCCTAAGTGCACCTCTAAAGACCTCTAAAGCAGATGCATGCTCTCACAACCACTAGATCTTCTTATACACGTCCATACTTTCCCTTCCGCTTCTAAATCCACCACTGCTCTGTGCTAAGATTTCTATTCAAACATGTCTGTATGCAGTATGCAGCCTGTGCCCAAAAGGTGAAAGAACAGTGCAGCTGTGCAGTGTGTATTTGTCTTTTAAGTGTAGGTGTTCAGGCGTGCGTGTGTGTTTGTGCTCCGACAGTACATCAACAGGCTTTCATTTCAAGCTGCGATGTGCTAACCTTATTTTCCAGGCTTTTCTGTAAGGTTTTCAAAGCAGCCGAGACTACCGGTCAGCTCTCGCCGTCTGGTTGTTTTTATACTAGTCAATAGAGAGGCCTGTTGTGGCACATTTTACTAAAAAAAAGAGAGAGAGAGAGAGAGAAAGAAAAAAAAAACTGGGCTGTTTGTCGAGCTGAGCTGTAATTGAGGTGTGTTTTGGGTTGTTCGCTGCTTCACTAGACCTCATGAACTGGCTGCACAGGAAAAAAACAACAATAATGGATCTTTATGAGTCAGCCATTGCAGAGAGAGAGAGAGGGAGAGAGAGAGAAGGAGGAAGAGAGAGGGAGAAGGAAAGACAGAAGGAGGAAGAGGAGAGTGAAGGCGAGAAAGAGTAGTGTCTTCACAGACCCCCATTAGCAGAGTGCCACAGTGGTGCGGCATCCAAACCAACCCGGAGCATTATCTGCCCTACGTTTAAATGAAACGCGCTAACAAAAGGCCTCAGTGCCTCCAGACCCATCACACACACACACACATACACACACACACACACACGCACACACAAAAACCCAGGCCAAGCAAGAGAGAAAGGAAGAAAGAAAAGAGAGTAAAGGAAGAAAAGGGATGCTGAGAAAAGATGAAGAGAAGCAGAGGCAAATGGAGAGGGGAAGAGGGGGGAGAGAAACGACGAGGGGCGGTATTGAACACGAGATAGAAATCCCTTTTCTGTGCCCAGCTAGCTATTGTTTGGCTGTGTGGCTCACAAAGGCCATTAGCAGCAAACAGCAGGTTGGGATGAAAATTTAATGAAGGCTTTAATCATTATGAAAGGCCTGGAATATTACTGCTCTCTCTGTCTCTCTCTCTCTCTTACACACACGCTCATGCACTGCTTCCAGCTGGATCAATGACACTCACACACACACGCACT